GTGGGCAGATCACCGGGCCAGTTACAATGTTTGAGGGCTTATTGTGGTCAGGGTCCCCTCTGGCTGAGGGACCCTGGTGGCGCTGCCCCTTGCTGCTGCTTGGCTGCCAGGACTACCCATTGTGTGGCCCTACCCCTTGCTGCTGATTGGTGGAGGGGTGGGGCTGAATAACATCAAGCAGCCCTCTCAGCCAATCAGTGAGGAGGAGTGGAGCCATCTTGGGCTGGCAGGCCCAACCCCCTTCCCCCAGGTAGGCTGTACAGCTGAGCTGCAGCCCCATGATGACTACTAGCTCCCTCTTGGAAGCCAGCAATTTTATTTTCGTAAGTTTTTTTTTCTTTTCTTTTCTTTTCTTTTTTTGCAGATTTTGCGGACGTTGACTATTTTCACAAGCGATGCCAGATTTTGCATTTTCCACGAAATCATGATTTCGTTAAGCCTTTACCTATGAATTATTGCTAAATGTATCTAAAGGTGTGTGTTTGTTTATAAGAATGGGCCCCAGAGCAAACTCCTGTATGCCCTGTACAGTTTACTCCTTTTGCCCCCTCACCACATCAACTTCAGGAACATCCAGTTCTAAGGACCCTACCTTGTCTACCAGTTTATCCAGCTTTAACTATCTTGGGAGTTTATAGCTTGAAGAACAGTGATGTTCAACTGTTTTTAAACACTTTTTATTCTCTTGCATATAACCCATATCATTTTAAAAGTACTCCTTGAAAATAAGTATGGTGATGTTTTGCATCTTCAGTTTGAATTCAGCTGGAAAAATACAGTGCCTTTTTTGGTTGAAGCCATTTTATACTCTGCTGTCAAGTTGCGTGTGGCTATCCTGTCCTTCCCTTCCTTCCCCCTTCAGCTTTTTCCAGGCTGCTGAATAACTAGCTGCTTTGCCCTGTTTAGATTAGGACACCATAATTTAATCAGTTGGCTAAAATCAATATATCAAATAAGTATTTTATTGTTTAAAACAAATGTAAAACCTTAATCTTCTATTCCAATGTAACTGGACCCCACCTGATGTCACAGTCACTCTTGTTAAATTATTCCACTCCTGACCTCCAAAGAAAGAAGAAAAAATCCCAACAAAACCCTGTAGTCACTTCTGTAGCACTGTTTCTGTTAGTCAAAGTGTTTTTTTGATGCATGGCAATATTTCATCCGTCTAGTGACTCAGGCTGATCTGGAGGTAGATTGATGTTGGTGCCTGGAATAACATTCTGTCCTTCTCCATTTACAAGAGGATCCCACTGATCAAAATCTTTCTTGAGACCTTTGAAAGGTAGAAATGAAACAAATGTGACCAAAGCAACTACTGCCTGAAGGAACTTCAGAGATCCTTTAATTAGATTTTAATTATTTCTAAGAGGCTTTCCAAAATTTAATCTTCTAAACTGGCTTGATAAATATAGCATCCTAAAGCTTGAGATGCTGTAAAGCTTCTGATCTATTTAAAAAAAATAAAAAAGCCTGAAATATTTCTGAGTTGAGGCACTTTAACCTGGTTTGCACATGCAAGTAACACCCTCCCAACCCCTTGCCTTGTTACAGGGCTGCAGGAAAAGCAGCTAACTATTTAGGTAAAGGACGTGTACATCTTTGTAATGGTGATCCCAGCAGATACTGAGAAAATTCACATTTTGCTTTTTGGTTCCTAGAGAAAACTTTATAAATCATTTATTTTGAGGGCATGAGAGGCTGCATAAAGACCTAATTAACTGCATGCAGAACTTGAGAAGAACTTCCGTTTTAAAGGCACAATAACAAATGCAGTTACTTACCTAAATGTTTCTGCAAGAAGGCTAACGAAGCTTTGTTGCAAATATCAATAGCTATATTTGGATCTATTTCTCCTTTTAGCTTGAAAATTTTTCCAACAAACTGACCAGTCAGGAAAGTAAAGTCTGGAAAACTCTGATGTACTGTTCCCCTGTAAACAGAAGTGTAGAAGTCGCAGGAAGGCAGTTATACAACAAAAGGCAAAATGTGCAATAAAGACATCTGTAAGGATGCACTGTATGCAAATAGGAGATGAAGGTGTGGACTTGTACTAATTTTGCATCTTGCTATTTCTCATATTAGTTCTTTCCTGGAATATAGGCCTCACAAACATTGCTAAAGTCCTGGATAAGAATTTTGGGTATGCAATAGAGATCCTGAAGGGCTGCAATGGTCACAGACTCCATAGGGACCCCAAGGTCATCTAGTCCACCCCCCTGCTCTGAGATAAGAGGTATGTATCTAGAATATTCTTGCCATGCACCTTTCTAACCTATTTTAACTTTCACTCTTAAGAAAATTCCACAACCTCCCTACACTGTCCTATATTTTCCTATTCATATAGGTAATTTTTTTCTTTGTATATGGAAAATTTAACCCAATTATTGACCAACTCCCAATGAGCATGAAGAACAAATGATGGCTGTCTTTCTATTTAAAAAAAAAAAAGAAAAAAAACTTTTCTATGCTTGATGACTTACTATATTCTCCCACTTTCTTTTCTTGCTAAGTAAATGAACTGGATACAGTAGTCCAGTGGAAGTGTGACTGCGTGCTAGGTGGTGTGGAATAATTGCCTCAAATGTCTTACACACGATGCTTCTAGTAGCAAGTCCTAAAATGGGATCTATGATGCATAACTTGTAGGTTTAGTTAGTAAAGGCAGCCTCTATAGCTGCTTCCGCTGCCCAGAATGTGGAATTACTGTAGCTTCATGGCAAAGGAAAGACTGGTGAGCAGTGTGGCAGGTAGTATGGACAAAGAGCTGATGGATAAGCCAAGGGAGTGAATGATCTATGCAGAGCTGCTGGCCAAAAGTCCCACTCGGGTTGCGTGGTGGGTTGCAGCTGTTACTGACTCTGCAGCTCCCAACTTAGATACAAAAATACTACTTTCCAGGGTCTTGTATATGAACATAAAAGCAAAAACATAAAACATGGGAGTCCATCTACCACAATATGTGCACAGATCCTCTAAGTGTGTGTTCTCACTCCAGAATCATGTTTAGAGCACTTACTTAGGATGTGGAAGACCCAAACTGAATTTCCTCTTTTATGGCAGGGATTTTAACCTTGGTCTGGCACATACCAGAGGAGTGCCACAGCCAACCTGGCTACTGAGAAGTAATTGTGTGTGCGTGTGTGTACACGCACATGAGTCAATAACTCTAGTCCAGTCATCTTGGAAGTGGGTGTGGGTAGACCAGGAGTAGGCAATTATTTGGACCATAGGGAGTTGTGATGAGCTGTTGTGGGCTGGGTCAGCATTGCCCCCCACCCCTCCCAGTTCCCTCCCCATGCAACAACTTGCCAAAACTTCCTTGCCCCCCTCCCCGTGCAGCACTGCAGGAGCAGCTGCAGGCTGGATCTGGCCAGTTGGTGGGCTGGATGTGGTACATGGGCTGTATTTTGCCCACCCCTGGGGTTGACTAAGGCTTGACACTGGGAAGTAGGTAGACTAAGGCTTGGGACTATTCCAGCAAAACTCCAATCTCAGCTAGAGATCTATCCTAGAAGAATCAATAACCTGGCAGCCGGAGCACTGAACCCTCTTCCACATCCTGGAAGTCAGAGCACTCACTTGGGCTACTGGGTAGCATGGACAGGAGTCTGTCTGTCTTTTTCTATTCTAGATAGAATTTAGTTGGCTGATTCCAGGAGAGGGTTTACAGCTCAGAATCCCAAATAAATGGAGCTTCTTGCTCTGATTAAAAAGTGCCTAGACCCTGCATTACTTCAGCATTTTACTCTTTTGTCTAGCTTCGATTTCTCTCTGTACATCTGCTTTCTTTTCTTAAGTACCTCTTTCCAAGTGCTGTAAAAGGTAGGGTGTTTGCTGAACTCAGGGCTTTGGATCTGGGCATGAGTCTTTTGCTATATAGTAGGGCTTTACATAAGCATTCAAACTTTCACCTAAGCTGATCTGAAGATGAAAACACCTTCTGTAATAAGTTCTGAGGGTGAGGCTGTAATAATTGGCAAGGCACTAACGCTCATACTGCAGCTGGTGGTAGCACATCACATGTGCTTATTCATAGATTCATAGATTCATAGATTAAGGGTCGGAAGGGACCTAGTAGATCTTCTAGCCCAACCCCCCGCCAGGGCGGGAGAACAACAAAAAACCCCAAAAAGAGAAATGGGACTCAAACGAGTCCAGCCAGGTAGGCATCCAGCCTCTTCTTAAAGACCCCCAGGGTAGGGGCCAGCACCACTTCCCTTGGAAGTTGGTTCCAGCTCCTAGCCGCCCTAACCGTGAAGTAGTTTTTGCGGATGTCCAATCTATACCTCCTCTCCATCAACTTGTGCCCATTACTCCTTGTTATGCCAGCGGGCGCTAGGGGAAACAGCGTCTCCCCCAAACCCTTCTGGTCCCCCCTAGTGAGTCTATAGACGGTCACCAGGTCCCCCCTCAGCCTTCTCTTGTGGAGGCTGAATAGGTTCAGGTCCCGCAGTCTCTCACTGTAGAGTCTGCCCTGTTGTCCTGCTTAGAGTACTGTGTTTTTTTTGCAAGCCTTACAAGTAAACAGTCTTCAACTAAAGACTATCATAGGACTATAGGATTATAATACTTACTTGATGGTGATCATTTTGTTTTGGTTGCCAAGCTTCCTCATTTTCATGACATTTGTGGCCCACTGGAATTTTTCAGAGTTGATAAACAGCAATGGTTGTTGGACCTTGTGATAAACTTCATCATCTAGTGACAGCATCCATGCATCAAAGGCAATACCACACCTGGTAAGAATAACAATCATATGGAAAGAATGGTCTACATGGTATTGCAGCATGCTTTGATTTGCAGTAAGCATGGGTAAGTGGCTCTAGATCTGAGTGGATACTGTGCTTTCATTTCAACCTGGAAGTCCATTTTATATGACGTGAGAAGACCATTGTTCTATCTACTCCTTATTCCAAATCTCTGACAGAAGTTCAGCGGTTCACAGAACAAAGCAGCAAATGATAGCTTTTTAAGAAATACTCATCTGCCTTCTCTTGAGTTCCAACAAGTAAGAGTTGTTGGGAAGTAGAAAACTACCACTTCTATGAAAACTGTAATCCTGGTTAATACTTAAATAGGTAAGATTTCTAATAAGCTAGTGCCTCTACCCAAAAAACACTAGCTTGTTTTTGCATTATGATACTTACTTGAATTTACTTTCTCTGCTGAGCGTCTCAATTACTGTAGCACCACCAAAAGAGTGACCCATCCCAACTATCCTGTTAGTATCAATTGAATCCTGCCAAAAAAAAAAAAAAGACTATAAAAGACATTCCTCTCTCAACTATATTAATATCTACATTAAAAGCCCGAGACTGCAGAATGATGTCAGTTGTCAATAGGATAGCTTGAGAGGAAAATTACTAATGCCTAATGTTTGGCTGTCCTGGGGAGATTACTAGTTTAAATACATACATAGTAAAGCAAATTAAACGGGGCTGTCAGGCTGTTAACAAAATGAGCCCATGTCTCTTTACTCACCTTTAAGAGAGTCCAATCAAAGTTTAAGGACAGCAGATTTGCTACTTGTTTTCCAGAACTGATATCAAGAATGAGGTTCAGAGCTCTGATGCATTCCTCTGCTCTCTGTTGCACCTAGACACACATGAAAGTCAGCAAGAATTATCCTTTGGGATGGGAAGACCAAATTACCAGGCTTTTAGTTAAACAATTAAAAATAAATCAATGGGCCTCATTTGTTTAGGTAGATGCATGCTAAATCCTATTCTTAACCAGACTTGATCCCTTGATTAAAAAAAAAAGAGCTGTGCTCTTGGGCACGTGCAGGAAATTTGTTCCTCAGGATTTAAGTCATACAAGGGCTTTGAGTTGATACCCCACTTGGGACTCAACTCTATGAGCGTTACTGGACAGCTTCAAGATGAATGCTTGGCTTCCCTTAGCATGAGCTCACTGAACTGACATGCCCCAATACAACTTGCCTTGATTGTATCAGAATTGTAAAATGTGTTAATACAGTTTTGGTTTTAAACTAGGCAGACCTTAAATAAGAATCAGAGAGCCCTTCTTATATTGTACAAATGTTACTTAAAGATTGTTGCGAAGCTGAGACATGAAGTTTTAACATGTTCAGAAAGATGTTTAAGAACTTCTTTTTAATTCCTTCATTTTACTGAGCAGGAAAATATTCTTTTACTCTTTTGGAACTAGATTTCTAAGTGGGAGCAACATGCAGCCCCATCAGAGAAGTTGCTAACTGGCAGAACTGTTTGTGGGATACTGGCGAGTTATATCAAGATTTTTATAAATAAAAAGAATTTGGTGTTTTCGGTAGGAAGTTAGATGTGCGTGTGAGATGCCACTTGTTGCTTTATGGATGTAGAAGTTAACTCATTGGAGCCACCTACAGCAGAGACTCCATGAAAGACCTGATCCAGAACTTACTAACATCAATGGAAATGTGTCCACTGACTTTGGGGTTTGGCTTGAGTGAGGAAAATTTCTCCCGGAGGCAACGTCTACCCTTGGCAGGTATGTATCAGGATATTGTACCTGCCTAGCCCCCTTAGTGTGGGTGCAGCTTATCGTGGCAAGACTTGTGCTTTGACATTGTAATGGGTGGGGTGAAACCTTGTTGGATGGATGCTTCTTTTAAAGGAACAGAGATAATGGTCTCCAAAACCAAATGAAAAGACACGCCTCAAGCCATTTGAGAGAGTGTGCACGCACATGTCCCTCAGGAGGGCAGAAACAGAGCAGGAAGCTTCGGGCACAGCCTGAACAAATGTAGCATGACTGAGGAAACGCTTTAAGGGAGATTTTTGGGGGCATGCTGACTGAGAGGTTTAGGTTGGGAGCTTGGAAACTCTCCCTGGCTTGGTTGATTCCCCTTGCACTTAGGAAAATCAGCAACATTGTAAACAGAATTACATAGAAGAAATATTGGATCTAGTCAGCTTCTCCTAGCTGGAACAACCTGAAAGGCCCTAAGTTTATGGCCAGTTTCTTGGGTCAAAATAGGGCAGCATTGGCATAATTCAGTCCAGTCCTCACCCCTAAGCAAAACGTAACATCTGAAAACAGGTGTGTTTGCTGGTATAACTAGGCCTACAGCAGTAGCGTTTACCAGACCGGTTAGGTTGGTCACAAATTGCAGCTTATGTTCCTGATGATCATTGCTGGGGTGGCAGAAGATGGTAGCCCAGAACTGTTCCAGGATGGAAAATGTGACTATTGGCCTTGCATAGATGCTAGCCTTAACCAGTCTCAGAGAAGACATGGGGAAAAACCCACAACAAACACCTGTTTGTGGCGCAGAGGAAACTCCTCTTCACCTGGTTTTAGCCTCTGGTAATATATCCACTCCTCTTCTATATCTGATGTAGCCTCTTCTTGTGCTTCCCAGGATGACTTCTTCTTCAAGTAATAAGTTGCTGAAGCAGATTTGTCTCTATGAAACAGAAAATCCTTCTGAGAGTGTGTTCACCTTCCTAATTTCATATGGTCTCTTATTTAATATCAGTGGTACCAGGATTTTCACCCCATAGCTAAAAAGACTGCTTCCCAACATCCAGAAGTCAACTACAGCAGCACTATAATTAAATGTAGATAATACAACTGGAATAGAAAGTGAACTGATTTGACTCTGCCAGAGTCTTAACATTAAAAGGCCACAACAGCAAATTTGAAAATAAGTGTTAACATGCGATACTTATTGTAACTTCTTCTGTCCTTGGAGAAGAAATTCAAATTACTTTTTCTTTATTCAGATGCAGAGTTGAGCCATACGGAGGTAGTTATGGTTTTAAGAAAAACAATATTATTAGAGGTGTGATATATCAGTGCCATATCGGATCAGCACCAATAAAAAGAAAATTAACATTACTGACCATCAGCTTTTTTTGGCTGGCGTAGCTGATAGTGTTACTGATGAATACATCTTCTGGTCAGGACACCATATGCATGTGCGCAGCCATAGCATATGTATAGCCAGGATTGCAGCTAGGCAGCATGGAGAGCAGTGCTCTGCAGGTAAGTCTGTGGAGGGGAAGGGGTCGGGGGCAGATTGAGGCCCCCACAGGGAGGAAGTGGAGCTGGGCAGGGCAGCGAATGGGATCCGAGCTGGAGTGGGGAGCGGGTTGGAGCCAAAGGCAGGGGGGTGGCTCCTGGCCACTGCATGCACCTGAGAGAGGTATAGGGAGGCATGTACCCCCTCCCCCCATATTTGCGTATGACGCAGAGGCAAGCTGCCCGCTGTGGGTTCAGGGCTCTTTGCTCTGCTGCCTTTGGCCCAGGAGCCTGGCTGTCCCCTGCCCATCTGGCAGCAGTGGAGGTGGCAAGTTATGCCCCTGCTGCTGGGTGGGCAAGGGATGTGTGGCCAATGCGGGGCTCCCAGGGCAAAGGCAACAGCAGAGCGCCCCAAGCCCACAGCAGGCAGCCTGCATCTGCCCTCACCCTGCTTGGCTTTGCTCCTAAAAGTGTCCCTGAGCTTAAAAACTTGGTGGCGGTGCTTGAACTAAAGCTTGTTTGAGCTTTAGTTCAAGTACCCCTACTGCCATTTTTAAGCACCGGGACACTGATCCCCTGGACTAGCTGCCTGCAGCTCAGTCCCACTCCGACGCTGGGTCTCATGCAGTGCCCCCAGCCCCTGCCCCACTTCCTCTCTTGCCATTGGGACCTCGATCTGCGCCCCCCCCCCACCCTATCCCCTTCACAGATTTACCTGCAGGGTGCTGCTCTCCACACTGGCCAGCTGTGCTCCTGTAAATCAGTTATTGGCTCTGTATCGGCCAATATGCCTGCTGAATAATCGGCTACCAGTAGCGGCCAAGAAAATCTTTTATCAGTGTACACCTAAATATTATTGTAGACTTAAAGGACTAAGGAAACTTCTGGGGAAAAAAAAAATCTCTTGTCACCAAAATAAGCATTTTTCAAATGTAAGGAACTGTAAGATGTTGTTCAGAGCTTGAAGTTTACTTTGTGAAAAATGCTTGACTTTTTCTGACAGGCCCAACAAGCTATGTACCATACATACCTGTGCTCTACAGAAGCCACTATAAAACCCTGTGATGCCATCTCGGTGCAGATAGCTGAATACAGAGTCCTGAAATCAAAAGCATGGTCTTGGTTATACACACTACGTTGCTCCTGAAACAATATCAAGATTGTCTTTGCTCTATACCCAATATAGTTGTTTCCCCTTTAAATCGCTGGCTTTCTCATATTGCTACTGGTTTCTTTTGTGGTGCAAGTCAGAAAAGCATGCTTCCAAGTCCCATATTGGGTGCTGTTACAGTTTTGAGAAACTAATCACTAAAATAGCACAGACAGAAATAGTACTCTGCCACTTCAAAGGGCTTTACTAACATTAAACCTCACAACACCTTTGGGATGAAGAATTATTTTTATCTCTAAATTAGAAATACACAACAAAACACCATCCACTGGACCAAATCCTCAGCTTTTATGAACTGGCATTGATTTTGGTTGACACCAGCTAAGGGCCTGACCCCTTGTTTCTAAAAGTGTTTCAAGCAGTTAAAACAGCATGTTTTATCTGTCACGACTGAAATGGCTTTCAAGAATTCCTAAGAACTGTCAGCTTGATGGGCTAAATTCCTCCATGGTATAGCCACTACACTCAGTGAAGTTACATCAAAGGGACACTTCTCCCCTTGTAATCTTGGGCAACAAACTGTGTGTTAACCAGTGCAGAATTACCGGAAAGCTCCAAGTCCATGGGAAAAAATAATGAGAGGGTATTTTTCTCCAGGCTTGAAAGCGGTGTTCCATTTTGCAGGACATATCACTGAGCCTAGATAAAACAAGTTACTTGCAGTTAGTATTGCATCTCATTCAAACATTTCTTTGAGACCAGTGCTGCCAGCCTCTCTGAGTAGCTTCCTAACTCTACAAGCATTCCCACTGATTTCTGTGGGGGGGTACTCGAGGAGAATCGAAGAACTGGAATCTGGCATTCAGTGGATTTTGTACTGTAAAGCTGTTTATTACTAAGCAGAAGCCAGAATTTCACTGGTGGGCAGGGAATTGGCACAGGGCCCATGCATGCCTTTAGTGCTGCAGGGAAGAATTTGCAAGGCTTCAAAGGAAAAAAAGCATCCAACTCTCAATGACTTTCAGTTGAAGCCTGGCACCTACCTGCCTTTTACAGATTTGAAAATCTCCCCGTTAGTGTTTACTTTGCTCAAGGCTTTATTTTACCCATAGTGCTTGCAACCATGAACGGTTTCAGACATCCATTTGGGCACTACTTGAGTCATGCAGTCATGATCATTTTGAAGTTACTGCCCCACAGCACGGAGATGAGAAGTAATGTAAACATAGGCGATGCAGAGGGAGGGAATATGCCCCCCCTGAAGGGACTGCCTGCAGGAGCTTGCCAGCATCACCCCCATGCCAATGGCAGCACCTGCGGGAGCTCATCATTTCCAGCCCTGCCGCTGATGCCGATGGTGGTGCTTGCAGGTGCCCTCCCAGACTCAGGAGGCACCCACGAGTGTACACTCTACATGGGGAATTACCTTGAGCTCCAGCAGTTGTAACCTATTCCTGACATGTGGAGTATCACAGAGAACCTGAGTATAACATGTATCATTTAACTAGTAAAATGAGAATAAACTAATCTTACCAAAATAATATTGCAGAAGTCTCTCCCCTACTACCCAGTACATGTTAAGGAATTCTGAAAGTCCCCAGTAATACTCTTTCCTGGGAATCCACTGTATTTCTTCGCTATTCAGGGTATTTTGTGAGGGATAATACAGACGCAAGAAGCTTGCCTGTGACTGAAGCAAAAGAGAAATCACGAGAGGAAAGGAGGAAAGAAAAATCTTCCTGCCAAAGAATTTAAGAAGTTAAAACCCTGCCACAAGTTCTAAGGGAGAGTCCAGCGAAAAAAATAACTAGTAGAAAAGGCTCTGCTCTTATCCCAAACGAATGGCACTGTATTTTTCATACGAATCAAGTGTGATTGCTGGCATCTTGTTACATATTATTCCTTCCTGAACCAAACTGACATTAAAGCATTAATTTCAAGTGGTGTATAGTACAAATTCCCTACTAGTTCTACAGCAGACAAGGTTCTTTGGGTGAATCTCATATCTTTTATTAGACCAACTTAAATAGTTGGAATTTTTATTTTTTATTTTAAATTTAAGAACCTTGTTTGCCTATGTCCTTAGACCAACACGGCTACAACCTACACTCCTACCCCACTAGCTCTAAAATATTCACTAACCGGTTTATTTATCCTCACCTCCATATTCTTCAATTCATCCTGTACAGTATCTTGATGTGCCTTTTCTTCAGTCTCACTGAAGAATGTGACTGAAGATGAGTGCTTATCTTGCAGGGGTCATTTGACCCCAGCAGATTTCCTGCCTATGGCAGGGGGCCTGGACTCGATCTTGCGAGGTCCCTTCCAGCCCTTAGTGTCTATGAATCATTCAGCATCTCCATTGCCTTCAGACTAGTTTCAGGCAATATGCTCTAATGTACAAGATATGGACTAAGAATGAGGATACTTGGGCTGAATACCCTGCTGTGGCACTGACTTGATGCACTGCTAACACTTTTCCACGCTGCAGCTTCCCTGTCTGTAAACTGAAGAAAGTGGACCAAACCCTACTTGGCTTAAGAGCATCTAAGGGCACTTTAACATGTGCTCCAGGGGTGGGAGGGGTGGCGCTTTAATTAGAGTGGCTCCAAGAGCTACTCTACTTAAAACACCACCGTGTCTTGGGTATCAGTCACCCTGAGCTTAAAATCGGTGGCGGGGGTGCTTGTCCTGAATGTGCTCCAAAGGAGGTCACTTCACCTGCGTATGTTCTGCAGCAGTCTGCGTAGGCATGTAACTGTGTGGAAACTACTTGGAGAAAAACAAGGCAGATAAACAAGGAAGCCTCTCCTACCAAATAGCTTCGTAGAAACTCCAGTGGAAACTCCACTTCTAGGCCTCCCCTCACACTGATGAGTGGATTTGAACATACATCTCCCACCTCCCAGCAAAATCCTAATCAATAGGTCATATGCATCCTCCTGTTGAATCTGGCCTTCTGGGTAGTCAACTGCAAGGAATTGTGAATCCAGGAGGAGAGTGAGCCAGTAGGAGCTCTAAGCCAATTAGATCCAGCTTGACCACAGGGTGACAAAATTAGTGATTTTCAGCCTTTTTGGACTCCATAACTTTTGCCCACTGAGTGGCACCCAGTTCCAAAAACTAATTTACATATTGCCAGGCTTAGCTCCTTGCAGAGGGGCTGGGCAGTGGGGATGGGGTATCATTCAGGCAAAGACAAACTTGAGCCTGCGCTTATTTATTTACCTCCTCACTTATCTCCTTGCACGTTGTGGCACCCTTCAAAGGATCTGGTGGCACCCCACAGATGAGAATCAGTAATTTAGGCATATCTGCTTCCCCATATTAGCGTAACTGGCTTTACATTAGAGCATCCAAAGCAGAGCTCTGCCCTTGGATGGCGCTTTTCAGCTTCACCCTCCTGTTCTTGCTGAGGTTTCCATCTGCAGGTGTCTCGAGACCTTTGCATCCTCAGAAGTTTCTCTCAAGCTTGGGTAAGCTCCGTGCAGGATGGCTACCCAATAGCGAGTCTTACATTTTTAGAATTTAGCAATCTGGGATTTTAATATCCCTTTATTGGGGGGGGGGGGGGGGGGGGGTG